TAAGTTGTGGAGAATGTTATGCTGCCTGTAACATCATTCAGCATTATTAGTTTAGTGATGGTTCAGTGATGGTTTGGGAAGGCATTTCAATCAGGGACATACAGACCTCTACAAGCTTGACAACAGCGCCCTAACTGCCTTTAGGTATCTGGATTAAAGTTCCTTCGGGTGATGTGATGACAGTATGCAGGCAGTTCTATGACAATGAAAGAATTGATACCCCTGAATGGATGTAAATCTCTGGGACATTGTGTTTTGGTCCATACAATGCTGCCAGGTTGCAGCTCAGACTGTCCAGAAGCTCATCGATTCCCATTGAGAGCTGATGTTTTCAAATTGTCCCTTTATTTATTTATTTTTTTGATCTGTGTATAATGAGCACATATCCTGTCCACCTCATGTCAATGCAAACCAGCTGTCGCCACTACCTGTGGTCAGGGATGATGCAAATCGTACCCAATGTGAAAATATAAATCCCCATGAAAAGAAAACTTAGATCCAAGACTTTCACCTTGCGTGTGCATCCTGCAGACAACTCCAGGCAAGGATTAATGCTTGAATAAACAAAACAAAACAAAGGATTCCTCAGCTGCTACCAAAGTTATTGAGCCAGACCGGGTATTGTCACGACTAACAGGCAAAGAGAACGTAAGCAGAAACCTTCAGTTGGATTCACGGCAATAAAAAACACAATATCTGACCCAGGTGAGCTTCGCTAGTGTAGGAATTTCCTACACTAATTACTCTAACCTTCTTACCTCACTTTTTCGCTTTGCATGTGACCACCTTAAATTTCAGAATTGGCATAAAATTCGAACATTGACCAAAGATTTTAATTGGGCCTGTTTGTATCTGTTTAATGAATTTCAAATGCTAAATGTGTGAATCTTTTCCTCGGGCCCTTCTGACAAGCTATGACTGATTCAATTCTGTGACAGAAATGAAGAATCATCTGATTTTGGAGTGTGTGTATATAATTTATTATTCCTCTTCCCCCCCTTCTTGTCATCTCTTTGAACGCAGTAAAACCAAAGCACTTCAGAAGCCCACACAGACTGCTGAGTGTTGCACGGAGACTTAAAGACTACGGTATCCTTGTTAAAGTTTACGGCACAGAAGAGTTTGGGGTTATGCTTGTGTTAATTAAATATCCCCTCTGGGTAATGACGGGTGTGCTGGGCATCACCACTGTCTTTTTTAATTCCTATATCTCTTTGATGAGTGTGTTGAACTACAAGGAGAAAAAGCAGTGGACGCCTTGTGAAACTATCACCATGGCTCTGTCGGTGGCCAGTATTGCTCACCAGATGACTTGCTACTTCTGGATGACCATGGATGAGGTGGACAGTAACTGCCAGATTGCCCAGATAGGCTACGCTATCCTGCTGGTGCTTACCTTCAGCTTCAAGTTCATCATCATGTGGAACAGCAGCTTTCTCACTTTCTACTACAGCACCAAACTGGTTCACGAACCCAACCACTGCTACACACACGCCCAAGATGTCATCGTCAAGCACGTGACCATAGCTGTGATTCTCATCCCTCTGTTTGGTTTTGGCACCTGTTTGCCAATGCTTGTGTTGTTTAACGCTGGCAACCCAGCAGCTGCTGGAAACGCGGTTGGCAACATCACCTACAAAGCAAATGGAGACTGTGGACTTGTATTCTCTGACACCACTTCTGTGAAGGTTTATCAAGTCATGTACTTGCTCCTCTCTGATGTATTTCCAGGGGTGGTCATGGTTAAATGCTGCATCTCCATCTCTGTTCACCTGGCCATCCATCTCCAGCACATGAAAGCTAGCACCAATGGAACCCACCCTCCAAAGCTGGGCACTCAGATAAGGGTCATCGAAATGGCTCTTGGTCTAGTGGCCAACTTCCTTGTCCTGCTCGTGGTTGACCTGTATGTCAACTACAAAATTGTGGCGCACCAAGAGAGCACCCTCTCTCTCACAATCTTTTTCACATCGCTCTACACGACCGTTGCTGCCGTGGTGCTCATCTACGGCAAGAGGACTCTTTGGAAAACGCTGATACATGATTTTAACTTCTGGCTTAGTGAATAACTGTATTTGTCTTGTCTGAAGGTGCCCGAACAAAAGACTCAAGCCAGCCTTCCTTCAAAAGTTAAAAACTGGGGGACAAAAAAAAGCCAATTTGCTTTCTGCTGGAGGTCTTTGTGCTGAAATCAATTGGTCATTGTCTGAACTTATTAAAAAACTTTGAAGTGTTCTTTTATCTTTTGTGCTAGCAATTTCAGTAATGACTACTGTCCTGCTGCATCACCATTAATTACAGTTTCTTGCATCAGAATGGGATTTTAGCTGTGCTGGCCACTTAGAGCTCTGCAAGTGAACGCACACCGGGGCCATATAACCAGCTGACCAGGCCAGTACCTATGAATATTAATATTTCAGTAGTACAAATAATAAGTTAGGCCTGTAAAACAGATCCCAAAGCATGCGTGCTTAGACATGATGTAACTCGGGGCCCATCTGAAAACCTTAAAAAATACATGTGACTGAGGTAAGAGTACAGAGCATATTAATAAAACAGGAATGTATGCAGAACCTGGCTTTAAGAGTTTTTCCCCCCTCACTCAGGTTGCAGATAGTTTAAGCTGCACACAGGGACTGGAGTAACCTGCACGTTAGCTGGAAGGATGCCAGGCCAAATCCCCGCACCATATGAGGGGGAAAAAACACAAACCCGATGAAGAGAAGCCCCCCCCAACATCCTCCTTTTTAGTATATGTGTTCGCTGGCCCTCGACAGAATCGTGTATACCTGCACTCGACAGCTCCCAGGTGTGACTTTATGTAGCTGTTGCTGAGAGTGTGGATATGAAGCTGGTGTTCCTGAAAAGTGCACTCATGCCCAGCAAACCTACTCTGAGTAAATAGAGGGGCTTTTTTATAAAAAGAAAAAAATAAAATAAAAAAATGCAGCAGACCTCCTTGCAATGCTACATTAGTTCACACCCTCTGGCACCACCTAGTGAGGTTCAAAGCAGAGATACAATAGTGCAGCTAATCCCACTACACACAGAGACTCGGGATCCCTCCAGCTGTTAAACGGACAAAGTAAGAAAGGGCGTATTATCCTTTGATGCAGGGGAGTTAAGTCGTACCAAGGCCTCCGCTTCCATTCCTGTCGTCTTCCCCTCTCCCTGTTGGAGGGAGCTGGATTCAACATAACAGGGGCAAGTTAGGTTAAAGATGAGGCCAAGAACAGCTCAATGCAATAAAAGGAACCAAAAAATAAAAGCGCTAATATGGCTACAAATGGCCATTTCTTCAGTGATTAACTGAAAGAAATGGCTACAGTTGTAGCTGCTCAAACTGGACCCAGTCTTAACTACCATATGCACATACGGTAGACTAAAGCTGTTTTATTGATCACTTTTGGACTTTTTCCTTTGACAGTTAAAGCAATAAATAAATAAATAAATAAATAAATAAATACTTGTGTTTTTTAAAACTACACTGCATTTAGTGGAAGATAAAAAAAAAGATGCAAATTAAGACTTAAAAGACAAAAGGCAATAAATGCGATAATTATCATTTTAAATGAGTGAAATTATAACAAACAGGAGTGGCATGGTGGTGCAGTGGCTAGCACAGAAGGTGCTGGGTTTGAATCCAGGCTGGGACCTTTCCATATGGAGTTTACATGATCCCTCTCTGCAGGTACTCAATCTGCAGTCCAAACATATGCATGGGTTTGAGTTAACTGGTGATTCCTAAATTGGCCACAAGTGTGAATGTGTGCAACAGATCGATGACCTGTTCCAGGGTGTACCCTGTGTCCTGCCCTGTGGATAGGCTCCAGCAACCCCAAATCAGATGGATGGATGAAAAATAAATATTCCACCAGGAACTTATATGTTGTCTACGAACTAAGGAGGACAGTATGTCTTATTTTGTATTCACAGCTTGTTTCTGCTGACCCCAAGTGACCAAAAAAATCCTGCAGGTTGAAAAATAAAATCAATTATCGAATTTTATACCGGAAATTAATTTATAATGACTTGTAAATATTCTGAAAAGCAGCCGCCCAAGCTTCCGCAGTAAGATCTAAATTAAAATACAGTGGACTGGAATAAAAGAATTAAAGTAGCAGAAATATCTAAGAGAAGTATCTCAGAATTGTACTTAAGTACTTTGTTATGTCTGATAAATGAAGTGTAAGAGTTTGCAACTGTGTTGTGGAAAAAATGTTTCAAACTTCGACTGAGTGCTGTCTCAAGGAAATGGAAATTGTGTGAGTGACCTCAGACTGTGGAATGACTCAGACACTCCGATGTGCCACTGGCTTGTAAGTCAGCTGAGAGGAGACTGGAAAGACATCTGCAACAGAAAGGAACAATGCTGTTGTGATTTCTGCCCTTGGAATTGTTACAGCATTAAGCCGCAAACCTCTTACACTATGAGGTTGTTTCCATGGAGATGTTCCCGAGTATCCAGCTAAAGTTGGCAGTTATTACGTTGCTTCCTTTGCATGAGTGAACATCCCTTTAAATGTCCACTGCCCATGAGACTTGAAGGGAGAAAGATACCCCCGCACCTCACTATCCAACAGGAAGGAAGAGGCCATTAACAATACAGATTAGCAACACCAGCACCATCCCACAATTCCTAGAAGAATTGCGTAAAGTCCTCCCTGCTTTCACACGAAAAGCCTCTCCAGCCTATGCACCAGTGAGCTAAAGCAAAGTATCGTTTACCTACACCAACTTTAATTGTGTTTGAAATGCATAGGTCACCACTTCTGTGTCTAGTTTGTTGATGTTTTGAGCTTGAGTGGGTAATTTTTTTTCACGCCATCAACAGCATCCCGATAACTGTCTGTGTGAGTGCTGCGTTTCCACCGAGGGTACAGAGGGTAATCTGTATTCTGTATGGAGGCAAGATTGCAGCTAAAAGGCTTTTTTTTTTTTTTTTCCCAAATAATCATAGTCATCAAAAAAAGGGAAAAAAATAGGGAGTCTGCAGGCATTTCAGAAACTGCTTTATTTCTGTTAAGTCAACAACAGCTTGTTCATAAAAAAGATCATCATATATCTCTTGAGGCATTGTTTGTATAAAACGTCTTTGATGCACGTTAAGGAATTTCCACTGTACAAAAGAAGTTAATCCCTTGTAAAAACAATGTAAATTTAATAAAACACTGGCAAATTAACAAAAGATTCAACTCTATCATTCTTAAAGCACTTTTACATGCAGAGATTTTGCACATACTGTTTCTTTTAGAACATTTTGACAGCGCACAGGAAAAAGTGTATATTGAAATCATACTAAAAATTACACTGCACTCAAAATAAACAATCTCTGTACACACTGGGTGTGCAAAACTAAGGAAATACTCAATTCAACGAATAGCAATAATTTACTTGAAAATTAATTGATAAAAAAGAAAATCTACCCACACCTGAAATATCAAACTAAAGTGAACTCCAGAGGTATTTATGCTTGTAGCACATAGCGTTTAGGGTTCTTTAAAGGACCAGTTAGAAAGTTTGGAAAATTTACTCTCTCGACAAGAGAAAGAGACTATACCACTTACATCATTGTCTAAATGATGACTCCATAACCTACAGTTAGCTTAGCATTAGGACTGAAAACAGCTGCCGACTGGAAACAATTCAGATCTCATGATTTCCTCTGGGATTAATAAAATATCCTAATTTGTTCACAAAAGAGGGAAACGTTGTGTTTTACATGTGGCAGAATGAGTATCTCTTGGCCAAGAGCAGTAACTTTCTGATCTTATTTCTGATTGCCACACAATGTCATCTTTAAACTAAAGGTTTCTTATAGTTTCGTGATTTGATTTATTAAGTGAGCTTTGCAGATGGCAGGTGTATTTTTGTGTCTTCTATGTCTAATGCTAAGCTAAGCTAACCTTTTGGCTTAAATTCAAGCAACAACCTGGAAGTGCAAAAAACACAGATCACCTGAAGCTGGCTCCAAAAGTGAGTCAGTCCCCATAGACTCTTGTGTAAAAATACCCAGAGATGAAGTGAATGTTTATAGCCAGGTGCAATACTTGTTTTGGGATTGTATGTATAATTAGCTTCAGTCATGGTTCAAAGTTAAGGTCATTTGAACTGTTACAAAAATGAAACCATCTGATCCAAGAAGAGTTGGCCAAAACTGAAACAAACAAATCTGTTTATGTCAGCTGATCTATTAGAATATAAGATCACCAAATGTTGCCATTAGTCTATATCTGCTGGGCACCAATGCAAACATGGACCTGCTGTTGCTGTTTTTTTTTACTGGAATTTCCTGGAATAGTTTCATCTTACCCATGGATGCAGCTTAGCTGAAAACTTAGCATTACACTCAGTGGCCTAAATATGGTCACTTCCTGTTCCAGAAATGCAAGCCGTCATGATTTTAGCTAAATTGGAGGCTTCAAAAATACAGAAATCACAAACCAATCAGTGATGTCATTCGTCTTTTATACACAGTCTGTGCTCCATGCTACATGCCCACTAAAAAGGTACAAGAGTGGCATCTATGATCTTGTCTCCTAACCAATGCAAATATGCAGATTTTCCAAAACGTCCTTTCACTGAACCTCACCATCAACATGATGTAGTTTAGTTTGGATGCACGGGTTACAGTATTCAGTTCATCATCAACATCAAAACAAACGCATAATCTGCAGCACATTCAATAATGCCATCCAGTGTCTCTGAAACATTGTGGTTTAGACACCGTCAACAAACAATAACTACATTCTGTACATTGTTTTCCCTGCTCTCAATCAAGTTCGATATGAATCTAATGCAGCTTTTTACTGTTCAAAAATGGAATGCTGGTAAACAGCTAGAGGGGAAATGAGTCATCCAGTGTCACTCTATAAGCACACACACTGTTCAGCCACAACATTAAAACCACCAGCTCTGAGTAGGTTCCCCTCATGACACTCGGACACAGGCCACTGATAGGGGACCACACAGAATGTCTTGTGCTGTCTGGGACTGGGACATCGGGAGCAGATCCTTTGTCCCCTGAGGGTTTGGTGCATTTTGTGGAAGCATCATAGGACTGAAATCTGGGAAGTTTGGAGGCCAGGTCAATGCTTTGGGCTGTTTTGGATGCTTTCAAGTAGGTCTTGAGCAGTTTTTTGTGGTGTAGGAAAAGAGCCCATTGCTACCAGCTGCTTTTCCCATGGGTAGCTGTGCTTGGTCTGCAGCAGCTTTAGCAGGTGTTTGTGGTTAAATTAACATCCACATGAAAGACCAAACTTCCCAGGACGATGCTGGATTATAATGAGATGATCAGTGTTCGTTTCTCCTGCGTGTGGTTTAAATGTTGTGGCTGATTAGTCTACAAATAAAATATAACATTACAACATTGATCATTCCTTGTTCACCACATTCGCTTTGTGTTAAGAAAAAAAAAAGTATCTTTTCATAAAAAGTTAATTAAAATCTGTACCTGAAAATCATATATCCATTTTTTGCACATTAGTACCCTTATTGACAGTCTATTGACAGAAATCCCAAACCTAAACTTGCTCGCAGCTTAACAACAAAATTAAAAGGACTGCTTGGAACTATAATCAACTTGCATCAGAAATATGCTTCCCATTGAAAATGGGAAGGTCCTGATGGTCCTGCAATCTGTACCTTGCTGTGGGGTTTCCACTCTGCCACAAATGAAGCTATGTTTATAAATCACAGCCAAATCATAGAATTAGGGGGGTAATAATCTTACTGGGGGGGGTGCTCATAGGATGGGAACATTGACTTCCGTGCCTTTGGAGGCGGTGGAGGAGGCTTGCTCTCAATTTTCATCGGGAGTGGAGGCGAAAACTTCGGGGAAAAAGAGAAGAGTGCTCGTGTTAGGACTTCAAATAAAAATAAAAACAGAATATTTTAGCGTTTACATGACATTAAATATGTATTTGTAAGGGGGTGTGTGAGATTTTCTCTGAGCAGACATACCTCTGTAGAAAACCCGGAGTTGTCAATCTCATGCGGGTGTTTCTTTGGTGGCATAGGTGGAGGAGTCCCTGGAGTGTCAATGGTTCTGACATCATTGTCAGTGAGAAGTGATGAATAACCTATGACAGGAGAGAGGAAATAAAAGCTTTTCAGGCCACATGCATCAGTGAATACGAGGTGTGTGTGTGACCTGATTAGGGCTTCAGACCAGAATGTGCTTACACAACGGAGCCCTCCTGTTTCTGCGTGTGTAAGGCATAACTTTAAGAGAAAATAAAACGATGACATGCAGTGTTTGACTTTTTTTGGAGGTGGGGGGGGTAACATACTGGAGCTGCGTGGTGTTTGCGGTGTGTGTGGAGAGGCAGGTAGAGGGCTGAGCGGGTTAGACAAGCTGAGCTGAGATGAAACCCCCTGAAACAGGGAGAGGGTAAGCCGGCGATCTCCCAGCTGTAAACTCTTGGGCCTCTGCTGCTTCTCTGGAGGAGTCTAGAATGAAAGTGGAAAACACAACAATGCAAAACCATTTAAGCACAACGGGACTGCTCCCAATTCACAGTTAAAACACTTGACACAATAACAACACGGCCTTTTTAAGTACCTTTGTTTAGTGCATGTTACAGGGGAATAAGAATAACAGAAGAAATATGAAGTGTGTAAACAGTTCTTGGGCATAAGGCCTTACCTCATCTCCATCTGACTGCCTCTCAAGGAGGTTCTGGGATTTGCTCACACTCCACTCCTTTCTGTTCTTTCTAGCAATCCTGTTGTCTTCATCTGAGCGGGACAGAACAGACGCCCTGCGATCTCTGGGACGGGACAACAAGGAACTGTTTGTGAATGAAGCAGATATAGAATCAGATGCATAGACGGTGCTTTTTTTTTTTCCCAAACAAGGAAAACAAAAGTCATTTTTTAAAAGTAAGCAATGTCTAGACAGGATGGAAAGGTAGATAAAATAAGCAGCACAAGGATGCTGGGACTAACTCTTGGGAGGAAAGGCAGGAGGGCCCGTCTGAGGAAGCAGAGCCGCTGGAGAGGCCCGAGGAGGCGTTGGAGATGGTTGAGATAGTGGACATGCGACGCAGGGTGGAGGGCAGGATGTAGGGCATCACCACCGAGCCCACGCGACTCTTCTTCTGCTCAGTGAGAGAGCAGGGCTGGGACACACAAATGGGATTAAGCGTCACTGGGGGGAGGAGAGGAGATCTTGGCAGGGGAGGAGCACAATGACAGGCAAAACACAGGTCGCAATAGATTGGCTAAAGGAAGATTTATGGTCCTGCACTAATATAATGTACACTCTGCTTTGAATGAGAACCATTTGATAGAAAGGCAAGAGGGCCAATAGCTTAAGTTGGCACCCTCTTACATTAAATTGAGTTTTTGAGCTGGCAACACACCAAAGTTATGACGCCATATTGCTTCTCCACTTTCTCCCGAAGGTCTTGGAAGCAAGTGACCAGGCGGTTGTGCAAGGGTTTCAGCTGCTCCGTTGTCCTCTCCTCGTGGACGCGAATTCCGTCTGCCAGGAGGGGGATCTGGAGGGGGGAGAGGAGTACCTAAGTGTTTTAGAAGGCTGCTGTCATGGATACCGTGGTAATGACAAGCGAAGGATTTACCTGCAGGGCGATGAGGCGTTTAAGTTCCTCAATGCGTTGACGGTCCTCTGGGTGCGCTTGGATGTAGGCGTTTGTGAAGAAAGCCTGCAGAGAATGGAACCAGAATGAAAATTGGGCAACTTGGGGTCTTTTTGTGTTGTTAAAGCCTTGTCACTTAAAATACAGCTACTGGCTACATTGAATAGAGCTCCAAAGAGTGGCAAAGAGGCCACAGTGGTATACTTATGAATACAATCTTGTAGCTCATAACAAGCAACAGGCCAGCCAGAAGTTTTGAGTGGGGGAGAAAAAAAAAGGATTTAGAAATTATAATTCACCATTATTGTTTGGAGTTGAATTAATTATGTTTTATTAGAGGGCTTTGGCAGTAGTTGGTCGATTGAATGCTTTATATTCTGGCTCAAAAAAAAAAAGTTAAGAGCTGTGCAAGCGACATGAAACCAATTCAGCAAACAATGCAGTCTGCAAGGAGAAGCAGTGAGACACTGTTCTACTATAGTTTAATAGATGTAAAGGGTGGCTTCTAGTGTGCACTGTACATATTCAATTTGAAAAAGAAAAAAAGGAGCCTTTTTTCCCATTTGTACAATTTACATTGCTGTTGTCGCAGTAAATGATCAATTCATACAGCCTGCCAAACACTTGGCATGTCCACATGTCCACATGCAGTATTTCTACACCACCACCTACAGCAGAAATACAAAAAACGCAGGTGAATTCAAAAGATCATTTTTGGTATGAAGTTCTGTTCGCTGTCATCTGGGTCACGGATGACTTTGTTGTTCTTTGTTCTTTTTTTGTTCCCATGGTGAAAATCTTCAAGAGTTCTCATGCGACTAAAGCCACAATGACAAAGCTTATTTCCATCTACTGACTTCTCATTTGATGATGTGATATCAGGAATGCTCGAAAACACACAGAAATAATTACCCTTTCATGCAGAGATGAGCCTAACAATGAGAAGTATTGTAACAAGGTGAAATGCATCAAAATCCATGTTTTCTCAGAGGACAGTATGTTCTCTGTGATCTCTGTGTGCTCCATGAGCACTGCTGTTCCTTTAATTCAATCATCAGATTAGAGTTTGAATCTGTCCGTTACTTTAGTTAATGACCGTATAACTGCATTCACAGTACTGCACGAGCAGTGTTGGTCAAGTTACTTGAAAAAAGTAATCAGTAACTAATTACTGATTACTTCCCCAAAAACGTAATCCCGTTACTTTACTGATTACTTATTTTCAAAAGTAATTAATTACTTAGTTACTTTTTAAAATCACAATTTACAACCTGAAGAGGTGATAAAGTGATAGATCTTTCAGCCCAATTCTACTTTTTCTACATAATCCATCATACAAAATGTAATCAAATGGAAAAGTCTCTCTTTTTTAACTTGTTTTATCAGTTTTAATCTTTTAACTTTATGCATCAAACAAAAATTTAATTACATGCAACATTCTCTGACTGGAAGAAATTTGTTTAATATTTAAACCTATTTTCTGCACATTCCAGCACATAAAATAATTTTTGTGTGTTTACACTCACTCTTTCAAATAGATGCAAGTAAAACACAGCAGAAAATAAATAAAGTCAAAGACTAGCGGTCCTTTTGCTCTATTTTCACCTGTAAAGCGGGAGTGCGGTAGGCGGAGGTCAGTTGAAGAATCCGCGAGTTTCTCTGTGAGTTTCCCATTACGTCGTTGCACACTCGGTGCTTGCTTGGAAGTTTAGGGGGTTTTTTCGCTGTAAAAAGAAGTTTTCTTCCCACGCACGATGGACGCTAATGTTTTTGTCACTTTTTATGGAATCAAACTCAAAGTAAGGTCAGTACTTCCACGCTTTAAACGCTCATACTCTCTCCCACAATCGATATGTGATCCATTGTTGATCTGCACACAGCTGTTGTCACTAACGGCGCACTCGCTTACGTCACTGTCGTGAGACATTCTCGCAAAAAATCACAGTTTTAGTAACGCAGTAACGCAGCGTTCCTACGGGAAAGTAACGGTAATCTAATTACCGTTTTTGCAATAGTAATCCCTTACTTTACTCGTTACTTGAAAAAAGTAATCAGATTACAGTAACGCGTTACAAGTAATGCGTTACTGCCCATCTCTGTGCACGAGCTGTTCTTTGAAATCCATGCCAAAAGTTACTATCCCTATACACACTGGTATAATTGAAACAAAAATGAGTGAATGTGTGTTGAGGACGTCTTTGTCGGGAATCAGCATTTCACTGTGAAGCGTGAGATGTTTTTTTTATCTGCTTGTTGTCCAGAAACCATTTTTGTTTGCTTTGAGAACTTCCACAAAGCTTCCAGCCTAATAAGATGACCCAATTACAAAAAAATCCCTTTTAAATTATTTGTCTGTTAAAAAAAAAAAAAAAAAGCAATCTGAAGAGAAAATGTCATATTAGTTTGTTTTTTTTAAATGACCTTTTCATAGTTGGAGAAGCCACCCATGACTGCGGGGTCAACTATGCCATTGAGCATCATGGACAGTGGGTTGACGGACAGTGAGCGATCACATGCTTGCTGTTGCACAAGGTTACTCAGCTTTTCGTTGGTTTTCTCCATGGTTTCTACGGCGTTTTTCAAAGGACTGATTTCCTCCTGCACATTAAAAAGACACACATTAAAAATAAAGTGTATTTTAGGACAGATTTTAGTGAACCAAACGATGCGACGTAAGAAAACACAGAGTGTGAGCATCAAGGCTTAGTCCAGTGTTCTTACCATTGAGACAGATTTGACTTCAAACCATTTGAGAATCCCTGGGAAGTGATAGGCTGTAATGTATGTTGTTCTCTCGATCCACATGGTCTATAGGGCAGAATAAATAACAATAAAATATAAAGGCTGACGTTTTCATGTCTTCATCAATCTTTGAGGTGCGGCATGTGCCTACACAGGGTTTTTTTCTGCCTTCTTTTAATTTATGAGTGTATGCTTACATATGAGTCATTGCTTTAAAGTAAATTTAAAAAGTCCTAACCGCAAATTCATTGTCTGGGTCCTTTTCACCTTTCCTGAAGGGCCTGGAATACTGGAATTGGTCCACTTCATTGGTTCTGTAATAGCTGGAAAAGAACAGGGAAGGACACCATTGAGTTAGCGCTTTGCCCAGGGAACCATAAATCCCAGGATAGCCATGGGAAAATAAATCAGCCTTTAAGTGTTCTGTTACGCACTTTAATATCTGCTCTGGAACCCCCTTGTCTTTAAACTGCTTCGGCAAAGTGAGAACAGGCTTGACAGTAAAGCACTGGATGTCTGAAGTTCAGCTAAGGATAAGACGAGGGACAATATGAAAAAGCAGAGACAACAAACACAAGTCAAACTCAGTGTGGTTTTAAGAGTTTCCTTAATTGGCAAATAAAAGCAAGTGCCTTCTTATTTTTTTAAATTGTACTCCTGAGGTAAGAAAAGAACTCTCACAGTGCTGGTGCTAACATACTCTCTTAGCATGCTAATATGCGCTAACTAGCCATGGACCAAAGCTAAAGCTAAAGCTTTAATGAAGGTATCAGACATAAACATTGGTTCTTGCATCTGCATTGGTCTGTGAATCTTCAGCTAGACCTGCTTTGATCTTTTGGGGGGTTGGGGTTTTTTGTTACAGAAATACAGAATAGATACAGTGAGGCAAAAAATTGTTTGCACATTCACTCTCTTAGACAAGCTTTCGTAAAATAGTAAAATAGTTCTCCTTTTCTTTGGATTTTACTGCCTTTTGTTCTCTGTCAAAACGATCCCACACTGCTTCACTAATATTGGGATATTGAGGCTGGGACTCTGAGGAGGCCAATCTATGAAGATTTTTGCACTTACTTAATTGATAGTTTATTTTAGATCATTTCCATGCTAAAAAATGATGCCGTTCCTGTTCTGATGAAACTTTTCTGCATTCATAATTTCATCAATGTTAACTAGATCCTCACAACCAAGGGCTGAAATCAAGCCCCGCAATAATGGTTCATGAGTTAGGTGGCATTTTTTTATGCCTAAATAATTCATAGGTTAAGTAGCTTAACTAGCATTCATCTGAAAAGGGTCAGATACAAGAACTGGACTGTAATGGGTGAAAAAGCAGCCAATTTCCAAAGAAAAAACTTTGAAAGACATCTATAAGGCCTGCAGAACTATGGCTGAAGACCACATAAAAGAAAGGAAAAGAAAAGAGAAAAAGAAAATCACAAGCAAGTCTGGCTTCTTGGAAGCAAAATATGAAGAAATAAGGGGTGGGTCACAATACTCCATGTCCAAAAATGCTGACATATGATTTAAAAGCATTTTCTTATCATTAAAGGATACACTGTCCTGGGGAGTTGCTAATGTTTTCTTCGGGGGGTGCTGTGCTGGTCATCCGCACGGCATTTGGAAACCGAGAGAGCAGCTTTAAGCTGAAGTCCTCGAGCCACTCATACTCTTTGCCTCTGTAGATGAACATTTTATTCTGCAGCAGAAAGTGTAATTGTGTAACACATCAAATGAAAGTCAATAAGCAGCAAGAATTATGATCAACCTCATTTTCCATGATATACGAGAGGTGTGCATGTGTGATGCTGTATTTGTGCTGACATTCGCTCGTGTCATCAGAAAGCTAATAACCTTTATCGGCATTATTGCACATTGCCCCGAGACATTTTTCAAAAAGCCAGCTCACTGCATAAGCAACGGGTACATAAGGGTTTTTCCTAAGTCTCTATTTATTGAGATAGGTGTTCATTTTCTTACCCTGAGAAAGGACGGGAATCCAAGGCCATAATATCCAACAGCAAAATACTCGGGCTGCGGCCGCATCGCATGCATTATTTTCTCATAGAACTCAGCTTGCTTTTTCTGTAACACAAGCCAAACAAGATTGTAAATACAGTTCAAAGACAGTATTTTGAAATTAAACTAACAGCAGTTACAAAAATAAAACCATTTATAACAGTATTCAAAAAAAGAAATCACTGCAACAAAACTTTCATTATCTTTTACCTAATTTCAAGAAAAGACTTCTGAAGCACAAATATACAAAATGACTAACGCTGAGAGACTTTATAACTAGACTGCACATAATCAAATTAAACTCCACACTATCAGCAGACGCTGTCGGAGTGAAAATGAGCTCAGCAAAAGGTTACCGCACACACTCTCTTCTCTCCTTCCCAGAGAACCGGCTGCAGCCTCGAACGAGCTGGCACATAATTCTTGTCATCACGCTCATTTAAATTAGTATTAATGAGGCCATAAACAATGAGAGTCTGCACTTTATATCAGTTGTTTTCCCTATCTGTTTATGAAGGTGACTTTCTCTGAGGTTTCAGTAATCACAGTGCTTTATTTGCAGTACTCAATTCTAAAGCATCTCTTCTTACCAGTAGCTGGCTCAGCTCCATGAAGTCAAACATGTGGCTCTCGTGCATCTTGGCCAGCTGTTTGCCCAGCTCAATGGCCTTTTCCCACATCTGAGAAGACACATGCACCACTCGGTCATAAGAGGGACTACTGTAAACATAACACAAGGTATACTTTGCCATCTGGTTCCCCCTGCTGTTCTCGGTAAAAACCCCTACCTCACAGCTTCGGGGGATAACAGTTGATGCTTCATGCGCTAACTACTGAGAAGCCTAAACGCTGTCACAACTCAAGAGTCTTGTGGTTGGGTCTGTGTTTTTGTTGCTTTTGCAACTTCCTGAGAAGTTTGCCAATGTTGACTTACAGAACAGACATTCTCTGGAGTGGTTTAAGCCTCATGCTAAGACAACAGCTCACATGTAGAGCAGTTAATAATCACCTTGCCCTTGTCCAAGTAACATATAATATCCTGGAAGAGCCTCTCTTTCAGCTCCTGCTGGGTCCACACATGCTCCCCGTCTCCCCGAGGTATCAGATGAGCTGCGCAAGGTTTGTCGGACCACTGCGTTAAAGCAAATAACCATAAATAAGCATTCAGTTCACCATTTAGAAGCACACTTGAAAAAGATTAAACAGCTCAGACTTTAAAAAAAAGATCTCTCTGTCAAAAAAAAAAAAAAAAGGCTTTGATGTGTCAGAGACCTCCAGTAATTCGGCATGCAGCAGCAGAGTATAGGCTGCCTCTGTGTAGTTCTCACAGTCCAGGTGCAAATCTCGCAGCTTGTACAAGTACCTGTTACAAGAGCACAGCGGTCAGACACAGCTCGCCCATTAGCCTGGAAACCAATAGGCTTTACGTCTCAATCTGACACACCTAATGTAAATGTCCTCCCTCTTCTTCTCTTTGTAGAAATTCTGCAGGAAGGAAAAAAAAAAAAAAAAAGAGGGAAAATTTGATGCTTTTTCTTTAAACATTTTCTTTCAAGCTATTTGCATAGGTGATTGCTTTATATTGCAAATAGCATTACACCTTTGGTTAATATAGGCAGAGGGCATACCAGCACATTGACGGTGCAGCTCATGCGGTGCTCGGGGCTCTCATCGTGTGTGATGGTGCGGTACGCCAGTAGATTCTCCAGCAGGCTGCTCAGCAGCAGAGCCAGCTCTTCTCCTGACTGGGACAGGTATCTGTGGCGTCTGCAGTGCTCCAATAATCTACACATACCCAACAAAACAAAAGTCATTTATAGACCACTCTTCAATTGTAAAGGTAAATTTCTAGTTCATCACTTTGCTAAAGCCCGACTTTCTTTCTGACAAACACAATAAAATTTGCTTTATTATTCCAGAATGGTACATTCTGTCCCTGAGAGACATCGCTTTATTAGACACTGCTTACAATTCTAACAGACTACCTCGCTCTTCTGGCTCCTTGAGAGCCGAATCAAAATACAATCAGAAAGGCCTTTGTATTATTTTTTGAAGCAATCCTATGCGAATCCCTTTTTGAGAAAGAATCAGTGCTTTTCATCAGTGCGGTGTACTCCTTAAACAGATTCGGGTAAAAGAAATCTTTGCTGTTTGATCTGCTCCTCTGGCTTACGTTTTCTCCAGCAGGACTTTGTACTGCTCATCCCCTCGGCCTCCCTCTACCTCTTGATCCAATTTTGTTATCAATTCATTTTCAAACTGCAAAGATGAAAAGAAAATTTAAAAAAATAAATAAAGTAACCAAGGCCACCATCACACAAGCATCACAAATGTCATATTTAGCCAGGAGCAGCTTTCGCAGAATTCAAACAAAAACCACCAAAGTGGCGAACTTCTGAGGCAGATTTTCACCGTTTCAAACGTGTGTCCAGGGCTGAAGTTGTGCTCGCACTGCATCATATCAAAGAAGATTGGGATGGTGGCTTTCCTCAGTTCGGGCTCAGGCACTAATGTGACCTCCAGAATGGGTCCGACCATAGCTGGGATGAACTTCATTTTGTGGGGGCCTGAGGGACAACGAACATTATCACACAGAAACATCATAGTGTTATTTGAGGAGGCAATAAACCACATCTTCATTCTCAACAAAGAGAGGACAAATCTAATAATGTGGCAAACAAAACAACAACAAAATATGAAGCCGGACAATAAAAAATATTGTCTTGTTATTCCCCTTGCATTACTTGCAGGGAATGAATACACAGTTCCACAAACTCTGTGATAACAGAAGCATTACCAGATGGTCCAGCACACTCACCGAGATTATACCACATATCTCTGATCTTAAATCCAATAGTCTTCCTCATGTCTCCGTATCTGCAGCAAAATTCAATCAAAGCGTTGTTAAAATATGCTCTACAACCACAACAAAAGTGGCATAAGAGGTGTGCAAACGGGAAATGATGACAAAATGCAGTCATTTGCATATGATTTAAATCTTATATTTAACTGCAGAAAGGAAAACAAAAAATAGAACAAATAATTATCAGACCACATCCTACCTCGTAGTACCATATCACCCATATAGAGCAGCTCACTCGCTTCCTAGAGTATTTAAAAGTAAAATGGGAGGCAGAGCCTTCAGCTTTCAGCCACCTCTTCAGCTTCCAGTTTGGATTCGGTAGATCATAAAGGGCCATCTGATTGCTGGGCCTGTATTACTGTATGGTCTGTACAATGTAAAGCACCTTTAGGCCACTGTTGCTATTATTTGCGCTATATCAATAAAATTGAATCAAAAACTCTCTTGTTCTTTTAGTTTGAGAAGCTGGCAGATAAGGACCTGTGAGGTATCTGTCAAACTCCTGTAGGTACTCTGGCTTCCCACTAAAACCAGTTTGTTTAAATCGAGTGGTACATACTGTTGAATTACCAGGATACCCTTTATTTCTTAGAACTTGAGAAGAACATTAGATTTCAATTTTTTTGGTCCATTTTAGCACTATAATTTGACCCGCAGAGCCTGATTCTCCACCCGCTCCACTAACCAAATTTACCACTTCTTTAATCAATGCAACAGCGGACGTAATAGGAATGGGGTTTTCAAATGATTAATCAGTCTTTTAATGTGATGAACTTGAGTTCGGTAGCACAATGTGCCACAGGAGAACAGAAGTAATGGTTGCTAACGAGGCCCAATGTATGCCTTTGTAGATACTCCATTAAAAAATTCATAAATGATTTATGATGAATTATTCCATTAATCATTATTTGCCATTTACAAGATTTCCAATCAATTTCAGGTTACATTAGAAGAAAACAAATGTGCTTTCAAAAATAAGGACTTTTCAAAACAAAAGTGATGCCAGTCTTTTTTTTCTTGTATTGTGTATTAAAAATAAAAATGAAAACACATTTATTCTTCAGCATTTAATATGCTTTTCTTCCATATTTAGCCAATTATAAAACGCACTCTATTTTTGTTTACATTCTACACAACGCACAATCTGTTTGTTATCTTTAATAACCTGTCTGATGAATAGTAAATGGTCTCACTTGTTCAGTATCTTGTTTCGTTTTTCTTGAGAGAAGGACTCCAGCTGCAGCGTCTTGTGAGTGAGAAACGCCACGGTCAAATGAAAGTAGTTATTCCACAGCTGCGAGGGGAAGCAGGGTTTTCAAATATTAATACCATAATTAACCGATTTCGAGTTTGTGTTTAATAAAGAATGTAACCTCTACTGAAGCAGGAGGAGGACGAGACTAACCTGGAGTTCAAAATGCGCCTTGTCCAGGAAAAACTTGTTAAGGACGTCTGAGTACAGGTTAATGGCCCTGAGGAAGACTCCCATCTGCACCAGGTTCATGACCATCCAGTCAGCGGGGAAGACATTTCCCATGAGGTCTTTAAACATGATGAATGTCTCCATGAGGAAGTCCTTGGGTCAAAAGTACAATAAAATCATTACTGCATGGGTTTACTCTCCAGCCCTTTAAAGAAATATAATAAAACCTGCCAAAAATTCACAGCACTGCAACTACACGTCAGTCAGGCATAATGGTCCCACGGCTTAATTAAGGCCCACGGACATCCTCATCATGCGTGCTTAATCCACTGCATGAAATGTCTAGAATCAATATTCTCTTAAGGAGCAGTAAGTGGCCTGGGTGGTTTAAAGCCCATTATTGATGAGATGCTTCAGGACAAGCTGTAGCCAAGAGGGGAGGAACCAAGATACTTACAATGATATCCTGTCTCGTCTTGAAGGTGCTGATGTAGTGGGAGTAATGCATGTCGTCCATTTGTTTGAGGATCGCCGTCATGCAGGCGAGATAGTGACCCTGCCACAAGAGAGAGACAGTCAAATATCTTTAAAGTAAAAAAAAAAAAAGACACTTTCAGCACATATTTTACATATTCAGCTATATATATAGCCATTGTTCATGTCAGTGCCATTAATATTAAAACCAATGCTGACAATGTGGTTGTCAAGGACACATTTCAGCTGTAATATGAGTGTGTCTTACAATGAGAGGAGATGATCGGTCCATGCTGATGACAGTGCGATTAACCCTGCGAAGAAGCCTCTCCATTATCAGCTGAACGTGCCCCCTGGTTGGACCCTGCGCAGACAGAACAGCTTCAGGCACCGTTACCAGCGACGTAGACGTGCTGTCACAGACTGACAGAATCCCTTTTTGTTAAACTGTTAACAGGGGCGCTTTCATTATTTTTGAACAGGGGCGCTTTCATTATTTTTGAAATACTCAGCTTTGACAGTGTTTGTCCCCGTGGAGATGAATGAAATTCCCTTTGCGGTGCCCACAGTATTTAATTTTAAAATAGACACACACGCGCACATACACACATAAAATATAATAACTCAATCAATTAGTGGATTGATTCACTAATTCCAGTTGTCAAGCATTTCTGTATCAGAAACTGTCATGTCTGGATTTTAGTCATATTAGAGTAAAAATTCAAGAGAAAAATTGTGGTCGTCCATTTTTTCCACCCCATTTCTGACTAACAAGTAGTTGTGGCAACTAACTGCTCCTCAGGTGGTTGAGAGTGCAACAACCTCAACCTCTGTGTGACCTCTGGTTTCCTGGTGGAATCCGTCTCTAAACCATCACGGCCTGATTCGTGCTGACTGCAATCACTCTCAGACAAACTGGCGAAGGCTTGTAAATAATAGCAGACTGCTGCCGCACGTTCCAGCTAATCACAGTCATTCTGTTCCAATGAGCTCAGAGTTGGAACTCAACTCAACTGGTTGCCATCGGGTTGTATTCTGGTTATAATCCTTTATATAAGAGAGGCTACGTCATTTTGCAGTTGAATTGCTGTCCTGCAGCAATTATGTCCCTGTTTGTGGGGGAATGTCTGAAATCCTGTTACAAATCCACGTGGTTCTGGCTGGATTATGAATATGAATAGTTATTGTACATTTTGTGTACATGCAGAAGGCTCCAGATTTGTGATTTTTACCAGATTGCATGAAATTGACCCCATTCAGTTGCAAACTAAATTAATCAGGATTAATTTATGCTTTCTGGCAATGGAAAGAAAACTTAGAAACAATTCAAAAATACAAACAAATGTGTACAACCTATAAGAGACTGCCAGCTCTAAGGTTTTTAGCGTTTTAATGGATTCAGCTCTAAATTTACTGACACCGCGTTGTCAGCTTGGCTACATTTTTGACCACAAAGCTGAGTGTAAACTCAGCAGCAGTTTGCATATCACCAAGCTACACACGAAGCCTGCTCTCTCATCTAAACAGTAAAAAGATACTGCAGTGGGATTTGTTGAATTTATTGCTTTCTACTTTATTACTCTGTCATGCTTGTGCTGAATCATCCTTTGACATAGCTCTATTTTTGGAACTCGTGAATATGGGCAGGTCGCTGGTCTGTTGTGGTCTGCTGTTTTTCTTTAGGTATAAAATAAAAGGATGAAATAATTTAATGTGTATTTTTCATATTTATCAACGTTAGAAGGTAGGCTTCACACTAGTAAATGTAGGTTTGTGGATTATCCAGACAACCTATGTGGGAAGTGATGTGACTGCCATTTTTCTTCTCACTGGAGCATCAAAGAAGGAAATTCCATTCATCTCCGGTATAATAGGGTGGGGGGGGGGGAGAGAGGAAAAGTCACTAGAGAGCAATATTTCAAAACCTAGGCAAGTAAAAGTCAAACTGGGATAACTAGATGTTCCACTTAACCATCCATCCATCCATTTTGAACAGCTTATCTTGGATAAGCACAACAGTGGCAGCAGGGTAAGCAGAGCAGCCAAGACATTCCTATCCTTAACTACATCCTCCAGCTTCTCCAGAGGATCGCAGACTCCTCCAGGTTAGATGAGATCTATAATCCCTCCAGCATGCTATGGGTCTGCCTAAGGCTTTTTTCTCCAGTTAAAAGTACTAAGATAAAATCTAAAAATAGGCTCAATTCAATCCAACTGGCTCCTTGTGATGGTAAAGAGTAGCAGTTTTTCTTTGTGATCCCCATGGATACCTAAGCTCTTTACGCTCTCTGTGGATAAATTGAATTTTGGCAGCTCGTATCGACCACCTCATTTCTGACGAGATAATTCCTACGGTAATTTGGACGTGAACCAGTAATTGCCTCACCACGTCTTTGCGGTCCAGGTTGTCCAGCACTGTGCTGAGCAGCTGGACGCAGGCCTCGTAGTCTGGTTTAGTCGAGTGGTCGTCCAGCTGCCCACTCAGCTGATCGGTAACAAGCGGCAGAAGCACATCTCGACACTCTGAGGGAACACGGCACATTTCCCGTTAATGGATCTAACCTAATAAACTTGTACGCAAGTGTAAAAGTTGTTTTTCCTCTTTCATCTCGTACGAAATGTCATCACAGGCTTTTTTTTTGAGCCTCAAGGACTCCTACCTGGCTGCCTGAAAAGGTCACTCTCCACCATTTTACACATGCAACCAAGCTTCTGACGCACGAGCTGAGAGTCGGGAATGCTCTCGATGAACTTCGCGAGGAGAACGCTGAAAGAAAAAGAGGCAAAAGAGCAGCTGTGACAATTTTAATGCTATTCACATTTCACATCCAGTAATTATAGTCACAGAGGACTAATGAGCCGCACACACGACGGGTTGATTTTACTGCGGCAAGAATTGAGGAAAAACGCCTCCTTTGCTCAGAAGTAAATATGACAATTTGCACGTAGACAGGCAATTATCATTTCCCGCTGTGCAAACTCTCTGGAGAGTTACCTGAGCTCCACAGGATCAAACACAGTCTGGATGTCATTAATGATGCTGGGGAGGTATTTCAATATAGCCCCCTGAAAAAAAGAAAAGAATCAGGTCTCATCAGGCTGAAGACGATTTTTATTCTCTAGTCAAACAAGCTTTTTAACTGAGCTTTTTCCTCACCTCATCGAGCCCGCCAGCAAAGAGCTCACATTATTTTGCAGTTAATTTGTACAGCTTCCTCCATAACTTGTGTACAACAGTGTAACACATTTTTCACAGCTGGATTGCTGCAGTTATTGAACAGCAGCAGCAGAAAAACAGAGACCAAAAACCAAAATAATATCTTCATAAAGTCTGACCAGCTGCATTTTAGTTCCATTGTAAAGCTAGACAAATGGCTTTTTGGTTAAAAATAAATAAATAAATACAATTATAAAATGCTTCCACATGATATATTTAGTTCCTAAACACACAAACACCTTCAATGTACCTTTATCTTTACTCCCTCATCCAGTGGTCTGTCCATGAGAGAGTTGAAAGAGAGGAAGAGGGTGCGGATGGAGTTGAAGAAAGCGTCTCCGTCCTCGCTGTTCCCATAGAACCTGCAGTAAAAACACCACCATTAAAACACAAGAAGTCACCCTCCGAATGATGGAAATGCTGAGTGGATTCTTGTGTTGCAGTGCTTCTCATACCTGAGATAGAGGACTCGGGACTGTACAATAAACCTGAACAGGTACTTGAGAGCTTTGAGTGCGGCATAGAGTCTCTCAGTCAGGCCAGGCTCTTCAGCATGGCCCACATAGTAGTTAAGCACCCCGGTTAGCTTCCTGAGAAAGTGAATCAGTTAGACATTAAGGTCTAAGGGGGTAATTATGGTGTGGGAGGAGAAGAAGAGCTGAAAGAATTAAGAATAAACAGCACAAGCTATTAAAAGTATAAATATAGAACGGGGACTCACACGTAAGCCAAGGTGGCACTGAAGTGCTTGTTGATGTAGGTTTCCAAGACGGGGTTAAAGTGCTGGAATTTGATGTCGCCAATAAGAGTAATTATAAATACCTGGATAAAAGCAAAAGGAACAAGGAGGAAATAAAACTAAAGTCTGTGCAGATTAAAACAGTTCATAAAGGTTATCATTTTATGTAAATGAAAAGTTGTTCACTCCTCTAACGTTATAGAAAGGCTGTATCAAGTAGGCGCTAATGCAAACAGAGCATCACACAGTCACTACTTCACACGAAGTGCCAGGTTTTGGTAAAAAAGTATTAGTTCAAACAATCGGAAAAACATCAAGAGGCAAATGCGCTCAAAGCTGCTGCTATGAATGGCCATATTTCATAAAGTCTGCCATCACAGACAAGAGGGAGGCATGATATGATTTAAATATAGAGATGACAACACACATTTTCATACAGCGCGTCCTAGAAGGCATTCACAGCGTTCCACTTAGCTGTTTGCACGAGAAGTGCCAGATTCAGTTATGTTACAAACGGAAGAAAACAGAGAGACGAGAAAGTTTTAACCCCGATTACTCTGTCACCATCGCACAGCCTGGGTGTGAAAGTCAGATTGCTGCTTTCAGGAGTCATAGTAATAATAAACAGTGGGATCTTGCCAACCTTGGCATAAAAAAAAGAAAGTATGTGTGTGTTTGCGGGGGTAGGGATCAACCATCTCACAAGCAGTTCTGATGGACTACGCTGGAGCATTAAACGTGTTCAAAAGCCAAAAACACTGGGTGGCTTTTAAGAAGCAGGCACAGGAACTGCATTTATCATCAAGGCTGGTGATCGCAGCAACTTTCGCCCAATTTTTGTAAATTTCAGAATGAATTTAAATTTGGGAAGAAAAAAAAAGTCTAAACTTGTAAAATCAGTTCAGTTTTATTATTATGACTCATTTTCATCCCTGTGAACTGATTCAGCCTGAGAGAACCCAAACTGAAACTCAACAGTAGGATTTAACACATACTGACACTGGCTGCTGTTGCATGTAAACTATTTTTTGTCAGCTGTCTTTGATGTGTTTTGATCAGCTGACTGAAAATGGGCATATATACTGTACAGTTTATTCACTGCAACAACAACAGTGCCTGTCATTGGGTAGCCAGAGGACATTGACAGGAAGAGCTCAGCAAGACACTAATCAGGTTAAATCATTTACATTTGATTTGTTGTTTATACTGATGGGATTATGAAAAGGTTTGTTCCACACCTCTGCAATTAAGCAATGGGTTGATCCCAATTATGGAGTGTTTTAATTGTGTTTGGGCTTTTAAACTGATGAGAATCCTAATATTAGGCTATATGCAATTGTAGCTCCTGTGACTAACCAAGGCATTAAACACCGGAGTGTCAAAGGTGTCCTTTTCTGAAGTTTCCATCATGATGTTGAACAGGGCATCGAGAGTGTCCTGGAGGAACTGTGGATTAAACAAAAACCTGTTACAACAATGCCATTAAATACAGTGTTCTAAAACACTCTAGATAATTTTTGCGCATACTTTAACTATCTCGCTTCCTTCCACCTCCATGAGTCTTTGCAAAATCTGGTCAAGATCCTCAGTGTTAGACCTCCAGTTCAAAAGGCCGAGTAGATCCACTAAAGGAGAAAGGGGAGAAAACAAATGAACACACAAAAAGCAGCAGGAGCAACGTCTCCTCTGTTGCCACATCACTTAATGTAATCCACATTAAAAGGCAGAAATTTCAGCATTAATTGAATCAGAAATGCATCAGACAGCATCAACACATCAGCAAAATATTGGCAACACGGATCACTTTAATTAATTTCAAAGCCATCAGCAGGGAGGTCAAATGACAGTATGCTTAGCTATCCATCAACAAAGCTGTTTCATTTCTTAAAACACCACTTGTGACAGGACATCTTTTCATTATGACAGGCTGGAAGGGTGGCAGAAAAAATAAGAGATGAGCCAGATGGTACCATTCTGAGTGAGTTTAGTGGAGCAGGTGAGTGTGGCAAGCTGGAAGCTGTCCTTAGTCACAGGAATGACTCCTGAATGGTGGAACGGCTTTCCCGTTTGCTTCTCCTTCTCCTCCACTTCCGCCCAGGTTGCTGGCAAGGTGAGATAAACCTTAGCATCCTCTGCTTTTTTCACGTCAACCTAAGAAAAGTCAGAAACTAGGGAATGAATCATGAGGTTTCACTGATCAATGGAAATCTAATTTCATATTTATTGACTCTGGAGAGATTCATGAATAATCCATCTACCCATTGTCAGCTATTCAAGACAGGCTTTTTGCATAATTAGATAAAAGCAATAAACATTCTCTTGCTTATCTTAAAGCTCAATGAATTACCTTTAACACAGCATAAATATGTGAAAAGCATCCTGTCCTATACATCATTCCGCAACAATACCTTATAGACGATAAGATCGTGTCTGCCATCTCTCAGCGTGGTTCCGTCTCCTCTCATAAGCCGGACGAAGGCCATGCCAAAGGGCTTCTCTGACTTGTCCCTAGCTGAAGGGCACATAGGAGCATAAAGATGGGAACTCATCCAAGAACACTCACACTAGCTGCGTTTAACATGGTGACAGCATTACACGTGGGTGTTTGTCATACAAATAAGGCACAGTCACTCACAGTCCTGGGAGGATCTGTGTCTAAACATCACCCTCAAGTGGCAGCGGCACACGTCTTCAATGGGAATCGTCACCTTGCAAGGACAAGGAAAAAAAAAGGTACTGGAATTAGGAAATGTGCTAATACAGGATTATACATATGGAACAAATGCAGTTGGGAGATTTACATATAGCGCATTCAACCAATGCAGTCCCAACAGATTATTGTATAAATTGAGCCACAGCAAATCCATTTTGAAAAGAAATCTCATTAGATAACATGACGACACAGAGCTGCTCATGTGGGTGCTTGCTGTGATCTTACCTTCGCTGTTTCATTCCAACAAGGCTGCTTCACCTGGTAGTAAATGACAGACTTGTACTCCGTTATGCCATCATAACCGGCTCCAGGGAATATGGCTTTCTAAAGACATTAAAGGAAGAGATTAGTTTACATGACAGGAACATCTTCAATGTTCTTTCTGCTGTTTTCAATTGTCTCTAACTTTTTTCTTTTTTGGTTAAAGTACAGCAAAGCATATAAATTGCTACATGTAATCAATACAGAGTTACAAAATGTCAGTTATCAGTTAGATAATGATGCAGCAATACGGATGGTCTCCCGCCAAAGGATTTTAAGAAACAATTTATCTTGAATAATTTGGTAGATCCCTCCTTCACATCATCCACTGCCGCTTATCTGAGTTTGGGTCATAGTTGAAGCCCCAACTTCCCTCACCCAAGCCACCTCTTCCAGCTCATCTCAAGGGACACAGAGTTGTTTCCAATCCAGCTGAGAGATATAATTTCTCTGTTGAGTCCTAGCTCTGCCCTGGGGCCTCCTCCTATTAGGACTTGCCCGAAACTAGTTGGTTTCCAAGAGGCATCCTAATCAGATGCCTAATCCACCTCAACTGGCTCCTTTCAATGTCAAGGAGCAGCAGTTCTACTCCAAGTCCCTCTCAAATGACTGAACTCTAACCCTATCACTTCAGGGAGAACCCTGCCACCCTTTGAAGCAAACTCATTTATCTGCAACCTAATTTTTTCAGTCACTACCCAGAGCTCATGACCAGAGGTGAGGGTAGCAACTTAGATTGGCCAATAAGTCGTCTGCTTTGCTTTAACAACAGATTATTACAATGTCTGCTTCACTGAGGACGTGGCGCCAATCTGTTTGTCAATCTCATGCTACACTCTCCCATCACTTTTGAACAAGACAGCAAGCGACTCAAATCCTCCATTTGGGGTAGTAATTCATCCTGGTCTAGGAGTGAGCACTCCACCCTATTTTGAGTGGCCTCAGACTTTGAAGGTGTTGATTCTCATTCCAACAGTTCCACACTTTGCTGCTAGTTATGAAGTTATCATGGATATCATTGGATTGGAAAGACAAGTCTCATTCTGGAGACACTCATATGGATCTTAAAAAGCTGCAGGTATTTATTAAACCAATGGGAAGAATTCTGCAAATAGCTGGAAGCAACAAAGCAAGCTTCAACTCCAAATTATGTTTTACAAAATCCACAATAGGGCATATTTATTGGTGAATCTCATCAATAATCTCTAACAGAGAGGTATGGGGCAACTTGAGTAAGTGAACTGTGCTTTCCAGTTTTTATAGACTAGTGTTTACTAAACAGAAAAAAAACAGAACTTCTGATTGTTGATAAGTGAAATAGAACACTTTTCTATCTTTAGGGCTGTCCACAACCACATGTATACTGTCACAATTATATGACTTATATAAAGATGCCATTCAGTAAGCTGCATTAAATGGTAAATGGCCTGTATTTATATAGCGCCTTACTAGTCCCTAAGGACCCCAAAGCGCTTTACATATCCAGTCATCCACCCATTCATGCACACATTCACACACTGGTGATGGCAAGCTACATTGTAGCCACAGCCACCCTGGGGCGCACTGACAGAGGCGAGGCTGCCGGACACTGGCGCCACCGGGCCCTCTGACCACCACCAGTAGGCAACGGGTGAAGTGTCTTGCCCAAGGACACAACGACCGAGACTGTCCAAGTCGGGGCTCGAACCGGCAACCTTCCGATTACAAGGCGAACTCCCAACTCTTGAGCCACGATCGCCCAGAGAGATCAAATTAAATTACATTTTTTTAAAATGTCATTCACTGGTCTATTTTACCTCCATGGGATTGCCTTCATCATCGTGCACACTCAGTATGACCTCTACATTTTTGGGGGTCTTCTTTTTACCACGGTCAAATTCTCCTTGTAGCAAGGTTACATAAATATCATTCCTCACGTTTCCTGGATGAGGGATAACAGACGATCAGGTTGTGTTGAGAAATTTTTAAAAAGCCCCTCACAGCTTTGTGAGCAATTAAAATGAGCATGGCCGTCGTGAGAACTGCCCATCAACAAAGGCTTTAATTCACCAGGGAGGATGATTTCTGGAAAGCCCATTTTCCTGACGATAGCGGTGCTGCGGTCCACAAAGTGGGGGTAGTCCTTTCTGACTTGGGCAAGGTCCCCTGGGAGAAGCTTCATGGTCACAAACAGCCCTGCCAGCAAACATGTAAAGAAATTCAATGAGGCAGACTGCACCTTGCAGACCCCTCACACATCAATTATTTTCCTCAAAGCAAAAAAAAGGTCAATTTAGAGCAACCCTCTAAAATCACAGGGGAACACACTGTCTGTGAGCACTTCATTTTACCCTGGCCTTTGTGATTGACCTCCCGCGTGGCAATGACTTTGTTGAAGACAGCTGTGAGGGGCTCATTCTCTCCTATGACTCGAGAAGGGATGCGCGGAGACATGATGAGCTGCCTCTGACGGATGTAGGTTTCCATAGCTATCCTAAGAAGGAAATATAGAGGTGACAATACAATGAAAGTAAAAAAAAAGAAAAAAAAGAATCAACTGCCAGCATCTTTGACAGGTGACAAACAAATGGACGGAAGAGCTGCGAAGGCACTGTGAGGCTTTCTGGAGTTTTTGACAACACGCACCATCTCTCCCAGATCCCTGCTGCTCTGCTCGAGTGACTACAGCAGAGAAAATCTGCTTAAAATACTAGCACTACTCTAACTTTTAATAAGACAAACACCAATGTGTATAAATTTGAAATCTCTTTATAGATTTCCAAAAAAAAGAATCGATCAGTTTTGATCTTTAAAGTACTTTAAAGCCCTTGACCACATTTTTAGTTTACAGTTACACTACTATGGAAGTACTCAGCGAGGTTAGCCAAACATCTTTGCATCAGAAAACAGAATCACACAGTGCCGACGCTGTAATTACACAGAAGGGAATAATCACAAAACTCTATTGTAGTGGTTTAGTAACAAGGAACAAGGAAAGCAGAAACGTGTCAGCTAAGGTTTCACTGTGAGGTTTCTGTGTGCTGCAAAAGCATATATCACATTAAATCAATGAAATGTTGTGTTTTTACTCTTCTACAATGTTGGATTAGCTTTCAGTTCTCCAACACCATGCTATGGCTAGTCTGCTCTACCTGTGACTGCAGGTTAACACAGCAGATCGGGGTGTTAATCAAGGGCCAAAATAGGCCCAGCAAAAGGTCCCAGCTGGCCCACTGGATGGCTTTTTAAGGTGTAAAATTAGCAGAGAAAGAAAATCAATGGGGTTTTTTTTGGTTTTTTTGGAGGGGTTACTTTATTTTGCACCACAAAGCATGGTGTTACAGGCTGTTAAGGACGAGTCGCATCACGAGAGCTGTTGTCCAAACCATTAATTTAATCTGAGACAGAGGTCTGAATCATCATCACTTTTACAGCCTTCTTGCCGACAAAGACATCACCCAAGGCTTTTACATAATGATATTAGACTAAGACAGTTAAGCCGACACACTGTGCTGACAGCAAACTGAATGTAGAAAAACTGAGACGTGTTGTTGCAACTGCATTTTTCTTGCAGCATCTCATGCTGTTTTGTAAATGGAAAGTTTATTAAATATGAACATGTATATATGTATGTATGAATATGTATCTATGAACGTTTTTTTTTTATATGTTAGGTTATTATTTAGTTATTCTACTTCACCAGACCAGCTCAGATTAAACTGGGCAATGTGTGTCCCAAGATGTAAGGTGAACTCTAGAGTTTGCTACAGACAGCTTGCCAAAACTGGTGATCTCAATCGGTTCCATCTCACAGCCTTTCACCACGTTCAATGCTCAGGAGAAAAATGTAACAGTGTCTCGTTGTAGTTATTTGTTTTGGTTTTTTTTATCTTGTGTTCAATTAAAAATTTACTTACCCTGGTCTATTTATATTTACCTAATTGTTCGTACAGTGCGAAAACATTTACTCTGTTAATGAAATGAAAAAAAAAAATCATTAACCTGTCAAGGCTGGAAAGCTTAAAACGCTCAGCGGTGCAATCTTTCCTTTGTATATGTCCAAACAAAAACGAATATTTATCTGAAGGCTTGCATATTTCCTGTCAGATACAAAGCACATAGGGCCAAAGTCTTTCAAGGTAAGAAGGATGCCACGAATTGAAAATTTAAATCAGTATTATTTTTTGGTCTCTACCTTCTCAAAAAGACAGAGTGATCTGTTCTAGAGTGAAAAGAAAAGAAAAACTGAGGTTAAAACTTGGTAAAATTTGTACAGAAGCCAGAAATGAGTCGAGATATTTTTGGATCTCTTCCATCTACGATCCCTGTGAACATATGACTGTCATTGTTTATCTCCCCCCTCCCCCTCCAGTTTGTAGGTGCCCTAAAAACATGATCTTGAAGCTTCTCTTTCATTTAGAACTGCAAAAAGTGTTTTGTCCTTGAAATACAGTGTAGGAAAAGTCGAACTGCAGCCTTGGAAAAAGGAAAAAAAGCAAACGTAATGGAACACAGTTGGCAGTAAGTATAACTCGAGAGCTATTCATGTTCTTATGAATTATTTGTGCTCAATTGAGTTGCGTTACAAAACAAGACCGAGCCTGTAAACAGCAAAAATATGACAACATTAGAGGACTCACTGCTGAAAGGGGATGAAATGCTGTTTGTCCTCGTCATCTATTTTGCCGTGGGCAATGTCTGTTATGTCCATAACTGCAATGACAAACACATTGACACATTCACAGTAAGGATGCAGACTGAAAAAGACGAGCTAATTAACTAGATTTGACAGCATTTTTTAGTAAATGCCAAAACGACAGCAAAATGGGAATCACCTTTTTTCTGTTTTATTTTTTAAAGAGCTCGGAAAGTTAATTAACTTATAAGTCTGGAAAGTGTATTTTCCACGTCTGAAAAAGAAGCCGAGCCAGGTGTTGAATCTCGCTCACCTGTTGCCTGGCGCAGCAGAAAGCCAGCTTAGTAAGATATATTGAGCGGTCTTGATCTTGCCTTTGAATTGTTCATTTCACCCGGATCTTTTCCTAGAATGCTTTTTTTTTTTTTTTACGCTTTTTCCCTGGCTAAGAATAATATGACTTCTGAGTTGAATGTTCATTCTGACTCCGGTTTCAGTCCATTTGCTGGAACACCAGAGGAAAACCATTTCCCATCAAATCCACTAATCATCTGGCCGAAAACAAAAAGACAGTTGCTAAACCAATTTTCCTCCGACTGCCTTGCCAAGGCAGAGTGAAGGCATTTTCTAGGTCAGGAAGCAGGTGTTCCCATTTCGTTTCGACACATGGATCTTTCATTTCTCCACCTCAACAAAACTATTCATGCATCTGTACCACCAGAGAGGGCTAGCTTTTTCTTTTTTTCCTTCTTAAATTGAACTTTTATACTGCTCTTACAAATATTAGGACATAAAAAAGTCCCTCACCGGCCACACCAAACGGTCTCCTAAGTCCGCCTGTTTGTTTCTTGCCCTCTTTCAGCTCCATGCTGCCCACTCTGATGATCTGGCACACCAGGAAGAGTCGCTGCCTCATCAAGTCAGTGCTGCTCAGGTCCTGGACACAGAAGACACACAAAAGATTATTTATTATGGCACTGCGAGAGATAAGGTGCATTAGGTACAAAAGGCAGTGACTCTACTTGCCAGTCATTGTGTACACACACAGGGCTGGAGCTGAGGACCAGATGGAAAATATTTCCATGATAAAGGAGTGGAGTAAAAGCTTTAAACACATCGCCTTCCCAGCATGTTTATATGCTTATTTTTCTCAAGGTTTTTACTTTTCAAAGGACCATCCACTTGTGTGCTTTGCTATAATCTTAAACTGTACACCTTGATTAATGTGGCTTTATCACACTCCAAACCACTAGCTCCTGATGGCACACATGGAGGTTAACACAGTGACTTGATTACAGAGCACCGCTTATTAACTTAAGCAGAAGCAACATAATGGAGGTAAATGCATTCAAATTTTCAATGATGTGCTGTGAGTGAGCCATTCAGTGAAACTTTTAGTAAATTAGGAGCAATCCAGGCGCTAATTGTCTTCTTTGTCACAGACTTCAGGCGGCGCTTGGATTGTTTAAATCTGAAAGAGAGGGAACGCACTGTGGTGGGTAGGGATTTGGTTACCGTGAATAGCGCTGGCAGGTTGTTGAGTTTTTCAATTTCTTTAGGCATTCCCGTACTGTCCCAGCGCACCAGGAAGTTCTCACTGCAAGAATTTAAATAAAAGTCACAGTTAGAGACGGCGTTATCTGAAACCAAAGCCAGTGATGTAAAAGCAGCATTATTTTATGTCTCACCCAATAAAATCCAAAGGTTTCCAGAAAAAAATTTCAAGTGTCTGCATATTTTAAATGCCATAAGAGCCTAGATATCCCTGTAGGCCTTACCAAACATAGGAGGATGCAGCCATCCTAAAAGAATCATCACCAGCCGGTCATTATTGGTATTTCTGTCAGGACCATTTTAGTCAAAACAAGACTGATTCCATCTGCAGTAAATCATATTTGGCGGTACAGCCCTGTTCTGGGACCTCCCCGAGAGCACACATCCCTGCATTTTCATGCACAAATATGGAAAAATGCAGGTTGGACAGCAGCGAGACGCCCCCACAGAACAGAGCATCCCGCACCCATAACAATGCACATGACATCAAAGCTGCATCTACACAGGAAGTGATTTGCAGCAACGTGGTGACCATAGAAAGCCAATGTCATTCAGGGTGGCTTTAAGCAATGCTGTCAACACGAAGCAGGTGGGTCATCTCCGTGGCAAACCAGTGAAGTGAATACTAATAAGAATGCAGAATAACAGAATAGACCAGCATCACGGAACATGACATCCGAGCGGCATTGAGGAGAGTTAACACAAGGAAAGCGGCGGGGCCAGACGGCATCACCGGCCGTCTGCTGCGCTGCTGTGCTGACCAGCTAGCAGGTGTGTTCACTTACATCTTCAACGAGTCCCTGGCGAAGTCTGTGGTCCCCACATGCTTCAAAAGATCCATCCACCATCATCCCTGTGCCCAAGAACAGCAAACCCTCATCCCTGAACGATTACCGGCCAGTTGCACTGACCTCGGTAGTAATGAAGGTGTTTGAGAGGCTGCTGAAGAACATCATCTCCTCCTCCATCCCAAACACCACAGATCTGATGCAGTTCGCCTACCGACCCAACAGATCCACAGAGGATGCCATCGCCCACGTCCTACACACCACTCTCAGCCATGTGGACAAGAAAC